CCAACTACTTGGAAGGCTGAGGCAGAAGGATCGCCAGAGCCCAGCAGGTCAAGGCTGCGGTGGCCAGGAGTGGCCACTGCACTCCAGTCTGGGTGACAGAGTGAGACTCCAACTCAAAAAAAAAAAGAAAAAAGAAAAAAAGAAAATGCAGGAGATACCCTTATGGAAATTGGAACAGGCAGCCAATTCCTACTAAAAAAAAAGCGACGATGCCATAAGAGATAAGATAGACAATGTGGGACCTCATCAAACTGACAAGCTTCTTCAAAGCCAAAGAAACCTTCAAGAAAGTGGGGAGACAGCCCACAGACTGGGAAAAAATATTTGCCAATTGTATGTCTGACAAAGGCCTAACATCTAGGATATATAAGGAACTCAAAGGTGCCAAAAAGAAAAAAACAAATAGCCCCATTACAAAATGGGGAAAAGATATGAATAGAAGATGTACGAGCAGCCAACAGATACATGAAAAAATGCTCAGCCTCACTAGTCGTCAAAGAAATGCAAATTAAAACTATACTAACATACCACCTAACTTCAGTCAGGAGGGCCATGATCAATAACTTAAAAAAACAACAGATGCTGGAGAGAATGCAGTGAAAGGGAACACTTCTACACTATTGGTGGGAGTATAAACTAGTACAGCCTCTGTGGAAAACAGTGTGGCAAAATCCTTAAAAGATCTAAAACTCGACCTTCTATATCATCCCGCAATCCCGCTACTGGGAATATACCCAGAAGAACTCAAGTCACTCTATTAAAAAAGATACCTGCACATATATGTTTATCGCAGCATTATTCACAGTAGCAAGAACGTGGAACCAACCGTGCTACCCATCAAAGAGGACTGGATTTAAAAAATGTGGTATATATACACGAAGGAATATTATACAGCCATAAAGAAGAACAAAATCATATACTTCCTTTTTTTTTTTTTTTTTGAGTTGGAGTCTCACTCTGTCGTCCAGACTGGAGTGCAGTGGCCACTCCTGGCCACCGCAACCTTGACCCGCTGGGCTCCAGCGATCCTTCCGCCTCAACCTTCCAAGTAGCTGGAATTACAGGTGTGCGCTACCACGCCCGGCTAATTTTTTTTTATTTTTATTTATTGTAGAAATGAGGTCTCGCCTGCCCAGGTGGGTC